GATGAATAAATGTATATAATGGATATGGAAACAGTTTTTTAAATGTAGCGCAAATTTGTTATAAAAAAAACAACACTTATTTAAAAAAAAAAAAAAAATCATAAAAAAATTAAGTGAAATCGTATTATATTTTGTTTAAATTTTAAGCAAATTTTATTACAGTTATGAAACAAAATGTTTAAAAAACATTTAAAGGCCCCCGAAAGGTGTATTACTGCAACAATTGTTATATTCTGTGTGCTAAAAATGAATTATATACATTTATCTAATACTATATATATATACTACATACAAATATAAAATTAAAAACTAAAATGAAAAATATATATATAAATATATACCATGAATAAATATTTGTCTACTAAATGTATTGAACTTTTATTGATGTATTTTTCAAGAATAAAATGAAAAAAAAAAAAATGTACGGATCATATTAACTAAAAAAAATACAAACTCAATTAAAGAAATGCCGACGACCGTTGATATCCGAAAAACAATTTTCGAATCTAACAAAATCTTTTGTATATTTTATTTACACCATCATTGAAAATAAATATGGAAACTGAAATAACTATATTTGATTTACATATGAAGAGAGCAGAACATTTTAATAAAGCATCTAACAAATTAATATATATTAGGCGATACTAGGAGAGAAATACTAGAAGTCGGTTGAACCGGGCGTATGTAGACATACTTATATGTGCATATAACCATATAATAAACAAACTGAAATAAATGTAAATAAAATGCTGAATACACGCAAAACATATTTAACTCGATATAAACAAATACATGCTATATACCTTACAACATACAGTATAATAAATGATGAAACTCTGTAGGGAGTGAACAAAAAAAAAAAAAAAAAACAGAATTGTTTATTTATTACAAAACCGTTTCTATTTCAGTCAGGTGAAACAGCTGTTTCCTTCGAGCTCAAAGAAGCTAAGTCCATTTGCTGATCTGCTGATTTCTATGCGAGTTCTCTTTCAGCTAAATTTCTCTAAAAATCGACAACCTTCTGCTGATTTATACTTGCCTGATAGTCTATATATATATATAGCTTGAGCTAAACTTAAAGCCAAGATTCATTTTTATATAGAGATTGTTGGGGCCGAAATCTGAGCGGCTTTACATAGAGAAGAAAATATAATAATAATAAAAATTAAATGAGAACGTTTCTTAACGAATGAAAAAATTATTAGGGAAATCGTAAAAAAAAAAAGAAACAGAGAAGGGTCTTCCCACATGTCCTCAGTTTAAAGATGTTCAAGAACTCTACTCAGAGCGTTTTAAGGATTCAAGCGTCTCTGCTAGAATTCATTTCGCTCCTAATTGGATTTTAATATTCATGCCTTTATTACACTCAGGTCCATAAATCTCATATTTTGGCATTTCAGTGAGCGAAATATCTTCACAAAATGTCTTAGGAGTATTGATACTATGAAGGATAATAGGCCATAAGGATTATCTGTAATCGTGACATAGTTACAGTTAGAGTTTGCGAAAATTTTATATTTAGTTATGCTTGCTGTGAGGGCATATCAAATGCATAAGTCTCTCTATTTGTAATAGCCACACTGGCTTACATAGGAACAGTACTCAAAGTTAGTTAAGAGTGGAAAATCCTTTCGAACGGGCAAAGTTTTAGTGTGGTGGGTTCAACTGCACTTAAAATGCAGCCCAGCAATTATTAAGTTTGAAAGCCTCGAACTTGGTAGACAATTAAGCAACAAATGCAAAGGATCATAACCATGAAAATAAAAGCAGCAGCCTCAAACAAGCCTTAGTTGTAATGGATAAGCTGAAAATGTCAAGCTAACAACATTACGGAATTGTTATGGCCATGACAAGACAAACACAAACAGAAATTGCGTTAGCCACCTTCCAGGTGCCACATACACACACGCATACATACACATGTTGGCATGTTGGCTAAGACCCTTGTCTCTCTTTCTCTCTGTCTTTTATGTCTGCTCTTGATAATTAACCTTTCTGCTGTGAATGCTTCTGTGTGTGGGTGAATGTGTCAAATATGTTCTCAACATATCCTTATTAACATCAACATAAACCACATTTGCTTCGGGTCGGATAATTGCAT